TTTCTGCTCCCAAAGAACTAGAAGTAAAGTCAGGCCTACTGCATTTCTTCCTCTATCTTTTAAACAATCATACTAATTCCTTCCCCCCATGTGCATAGCTGTACAGTTTTTTTTCTTTTCCCATTGTTACATATCTGATTTCTCCTCAGGACATCATAAACCCTTAAAAACAACCTGTTATTGCCTATGATCAGAATCAGTATTTATGTACATAAGTATCTAGTTTTTCACAGCCAGTGAGCTCCTTTGATTAGAATGTCAGTTTAGTAAATCAGTTTGGTACCCACATTAAGCAGCTACTTTGACTTGAATAATCTCAGATATAGTGTTATTCAACCTGTAGTACTTTGCTGAAAATATTGAAAGATCTGTCTGTTAAATATATGTTGGGCTCCTATAATATGCAGGGCACAGTTCTCAATGCCTCAATGCTGACAATTCAGTGATAAGCAAAACTACACTGTCCCTATTCCTGTGTGACATGTAGGGTGGTGAAGCAGGAGGACATCATTAGGTCACACACATACAAACTTGGAGACACACACACACACACACGCACACATACTCTGATTCCATAAGGGCTAGGACGTGAAACTACTATGAAATAGTTTAACAGTGTATTTTGGGCTGCTGCAACAAAATAGCATACACTAGGTGTTCATAAACAACAGAAACTTACTTCTCACAGTTTTGTGTCTGATGAGAGCTGGCTTTCTCACACCTGGTGCCTTCTAGCTGTGTTCTTACACAGGAGGAGGGAGAAAGGATATCTCTGAGGCCTCCTTTATAAGGGTACTAATTAGATGCACGGGGGCTGCATCCTTATGAAGAAGTAACAGTCCCCCACAGCACCCCCTCTTTTGTGGGTTAGGATTTCAAGATTTGAATCTACTGTAGATATTCTAACTGAGAACTAAGGGATCAGTTGTGGTTCATTAGGAGAAAATTATGAGAAAGTGGATGAACACTGAACATTCAAATTAGAGCAGACTCCACGAGGAAGAAAAGAGCTTTTACTCTGTCAAGAAGCCAGAAGGAAGCTAATGAACGTGGGGCACTATGAGCGTGCTGGAGAATGCAAGGACCTGTGTGGGAACTGCAGACTAGGCCCATGTCTGAATTTCATTCTGGATGGAGAAGGAGGCAAGTCGGAGGCTTTGAGATAGCACTGTGTTCATCTCTGCCATAAACAGTGGCGGCTCAGACTGAGGTCATGGCAAAGAGTTATGAGATGCTATTTCAGAAATGGGAAAATTAGGCAAAGACCAAGGTGGCCAGTCAGGCCACCCAATTCATCCAAAAATGAATTATGACATTTAGAAATTGATTTGATATAAGTCACATAATGCCTCTATGTATCAGAAGTGAAATTAGATTAGTTCTGATTGTTTTTTACAGTAGTCCATAAATTAGCATTCTCTGTGATAATATATAAATAACATTATCATTTCATCTTCAGATGTTAGCGGACACTTTTTTTATTTAGTTCTCAGTAAATACTATGCCTTCTATAAGCCAGAATTTAAAAGAAATAGAAGAAAAGTACCCTGAATTTCTCCTATATGTCACTGCTTTCTTGTGTATACAATGTGGTACTCTGTACTTAACTCTATAAACAGAATGGTTTTTCTAGGTCCCATGCTACATGGAAAGATTAGTTGACATGTAAGGCCATAAATGCTTTTATCTTAAGTGAAATATTAGTATTTGAGTAAACATTCCATCCAGTTAGGTCATTTTAAAGCCATATTTTGTTTTCATAAGTCTACCTTGCAGATATGTCAGTAGTAGTTGTTGTTATTATTATCATTTATGGTACCTTTTCTCCTTCTATTCAGGTAACATTGCACATAAATAGCAGATATTGGTCCCCACAGAAATTGTTCCTTTTTCTTTCCCTTCACATCCAAAGTCAAAACAAAACTTTCAGTGTTTGAAAGGATGAAAGCTGATGTTTTTTTCCTCCATAGTTCAAAGACCTGTAAATAATATAGCCTTTCAGAAACAAAATAAGTGCTAAATATCTGCCTATTCAAGTAGAATTCTTGTATTCTTATGACTGATATGTAGTTTTTATTTATTTAAATAAGAAGATATCACCACCATAGAGGAGAATGAACTTAGGTTTGATTGTAGAGCATTGACTTCTAAATGTATCACTTAATGTCATCTTTCATTATGCTTTTTTTCTTTCATAAACTATTTATTAAACATCTCTGTGGAAAGTTCTTTTCTGGAAATGGTGAACCATAATGAACAAAAGATAGTCCCTTGTTTATGAAACTTATTTCCTAGAGAACATAAACATAAATAAGTAAAACAAGTATTTTATAAAACAGTGATAAATGCAATGAAACAAAAATACAGCTGGGAAGGAAGGTGAACAAAACCAGCAGATGTGTGTGCATGTGTGAGGGACTTCAATTTTAGATAGAGTAGTCAGAGAAAGTTTCAATTATAAGGAAATTCTATACAGAAACCTAAATGTAATTTTAAATCTCCTTTCTCTCTGAATTGTTCAGAAATCTCATTCCACATGACAATCTGTAGTGACTGCAGTAGGAATTTACATTCTCTGTCAGAATGCTTTCTAAATTATTTGTGCCATTGCTTTCTGACAAACTGAGAAGTTGTGTAGAAGTTGAATAATGATATGGAGTGAAGCTATCCATATGACTCCTATCCAAGACTTCTATCAACAAGGAACAGTCACAAATTCTCCCACATTACTTTCTGAAGTTTTATAAAGTGACTATGCTTATCTTAAGGCAGTACCTTCATTTCTCTTTTTCATAAAGACAAGTTGTGTTCCTGTCTTCAGATTGCAGCATATGTCTATACTAAAGAGTCGCTGGCCCTGTCTCCATATGTAGGCAGAGTAAGCACTGTGAAGTGGTTCTCTAAAAACAAAAAAATACTGAAATACAGTCCGATGTGTTTTCACATGGTTTCTTTTCATTGTTCAATTTACAGATGACTTTTCCCTTTCATTCTTCCATAAACAATGACCAGTTATTTCTTTACAAAAATCTAGTAGGTACTTAGCCTATTTAATTTATTATTTCATAGACACATTAAAATAGTAAGTATATTTCATCTGGGGATTGGTATGGTCTTATACCTGGTTAAAAGCCCCTATTGTATGTAGACAAAAAAGTAGGGTTTTTTTTCTTTTAAATGATCAAATTATCATTTGCTCACATTCTATTTGTAGTAAATCTCTGATCTCTAGGCTCACATGTATTTCCCCAGATCACAATCTTTTTCATGAAATACAGTAACTTTGTATTTTATAATCCATTCAGCTTTTCTACTGCATGTTAGTAAAATCTTTATTAATTCAAAACTGCCAAGCAGAATGATAATTATCAGAAAAAGTTAATAACATAAAGAAGTCTTGGGGAGAAAGAGCTAAATGGCTGGATTCTGAAAAATAAACAATGTATGAGATAAAACTGTAAACAGAAATGTAAGCATAAAATGTAGTTTAGATAGTTTCCGTGTAATTCTAAAGAAATAAAATCAAAATATGAATGTTACTATTTGCCTCATCCTAAGAAAGTCCATCAGTACAGTGATCATGAAAGGAGTTAAATATTGGTTTGTAATTAACTCAGTTACTATTCTCTTCACCAAGATGGCATAGGTATTAGAGAACAGAGCAAGAATAGAACATGAGCTCAGAGCCATTAATTACTTCTTCCTGTCTAAATAGCAGGGACTACTAGACAACCCATGATAAGTGATAGATTTATTTAGGAAAAACTTTGTTTTTATCATACTACCTGAAATCCAAGAATCCTCGGTAGATTTCATGTGTGTATGTAAATATATGGATAACTGCTAAGTTCTATCAGGCCAACCTATTCTTAGTCAAAAGCATAGGAAAACTCTCTAATACATTATTTATTACTCTCTACACTGGAAGAAGAGAGAAAGAGGACAGAGAATTTAAACTGACATGTATTTGTGAGTCATACTTGTCCATTTAGTAGAAATATTTAACTTCCATGGGAAATAGTGGCATGTGCATAAATTTGAAATTAAGTTTAAAATAAAGTAAAATTTTGATGTATTTTAAATATACCTTGTATTTCAATATTAGAACACTTTGAATAGATCTGACTTTATTCTGAAATATTCGATAAGAAACTACCTAGTGTCATCAGAGTTACATTTTTGGTAGGTTTTTCTTTTATTTTTTGGATTTTATTTTTGTTTGTCTGGTTGGTTTGTGGGTTGGTTCCTTTTTTCCCATTAGTAGATATTTATGTTGAAATATATTGTTGGTAGCCAAATAAATAATTCAACAACTTTATAAACACAATAGGCCAAGTCATGTGTTACTCCCTAAAAATAAGAATACATAGGTGAACTATGGAATGATTGAGAGAAATAAAGCCTGTCATGTTAGTACATACCTGAGATAATTCACCTAAACAGGAATCTTTTATGAAGACTTTTTTCAAGATAAATTTGATCATCTAGGGTTACCATTATTGAGTAAGCCAGGACATGTTTAATGATTTAAAATATGCTCTGTTTATAATTATACTTAAAAGCAGACGTAACATGGGCAGAGTAGAGATATTACCTCCCTAGTTAATCCTCAACATCTTAGGGAGATTTTGCATGTGTAAAAGTGTTGGGATGCATAGGTAACCACAGTGCTGTTCTCGCTTTCCGGAAGCTGACTTGTATCCTCTATTTGGAAGGATTTGTGCTACCTCTGTTTCCCATGTAGAAAGCCTTGGGGATGATTTAAAATGACCAGATTAAGTACTTTGACATTACATTTTTAATCACTCTATATGGCTTAAAGACTGGAGAGTTGTTTATTACAGCAACTTCGGTGATCGTGCTTGTCAATTGTTGAGCCCTTTTTCTGTTTTGATGTCTGACAGGATAACTTGGCTTTGAGACTATCCAGACAATTCTTGCACAGTGAACTAGTGTGGTGGCTGCATGTCTGCTGACTGGTGGTTTTGCTCCATTTGCAGGACCAGTGGTTTTGGCGAGTAAGAAACAACAGAGTGATGGATGGATACCCCATGCAGATTACTTATTTCTGGCGGGGCTTGCCTCCTAGTATCGATGCAGTATATGAAAACAGTGATGGGAATTTTGTCTTCTTTAAAGGTAAGTCTCTCTTTTATGGCTGGCTGTGTTGTAGTTTGATCACTTTTTCCAGGGCCTTGAAGCATGAATATAGGTGAATAAGTAAAACCCCTTAAGTGAGATTAGGTAGTGAATGAATTTTGTGACATAAATTGTATGTCAATTATAAGCATAAATGAAGTAAAGGTAATTTTTAATTTTATTTGTTTTCTCATATATTCTCATGTAGAAGTCATGAAAATACAGTATTTAGGAAATATTCTATTTTGTAGAACATTTATAGTTGGCTTCCTAGTACCCAAAATAAATAACCATCTCTCCCTTGTCTAAATCCATTTGGAATTTTTTGTTTGACTTTAGAGTGTGTAGAGTTGCTTACTTTTATTGTGCACTGAAATGTATTTCACAATTTAATTTCATATGTAATCTTTGAAACCCAAGCTGATGTAATCAGTTTATAAAATAGTCTCCAGTAAACTAAGAAAGTACTCGTAAAGGCAAGGGACACTTAGGAAAAAAGAGAATACACACAGTTATCATTATCATGAAATTTATTGTCTATTATTTATCCAAGTGACAAAATTTAATAGCACAAGTGTTACTAATGCCTAGAATGCAAAAGTAAGGTTCTCTGTTAAAGTGTACTTCACCAAGCCTGTTCCTCTACCCTCAAAACTGGCTAATATACAAAACAATAAGCCTTAAATCCGTGGCAGTAAGCACAAGGACAAGAAACAGGAGTGGGAAAATTGTGGGAATCGTGAGGAGACCACATGTGAGCTAATGCTGAGGAGAACAAGAGGGTGGAAGGAACAGTACTGAACATTTCTCCAAGACCCAGAAGGACTGAAAATAAGCTTAAATAAAGATACGGGTTAAGGGGAGGAAAAGTGAGTTGTATCCAAAAAACTAATTCTCTCAGAATCATAATAGAAGAACTTGTGCTAACAATGATGGTGTGAAAATTGCATTTGGAGAACAATTTAGTAAGTGAGATTCAAACTACATATTAAAATGAAATTGAACACTTGGAATGTATTCCATCTTTACAGATTTTTTTCTTGAAAAAAAGAGTCAGAGTAGTACATTAATTATAAGATTATGTAGGTTCTGAAGTGATATAAACAATTTTGATTATTTATTGGCTGCATGAACTGGGCAAAACACTCAATTTACACTCAAAACACTCTACCTCAGCTTCCTCATGTGGAAAATGAGGTTTGTATTATTCCCCTACTCAGGATTATTTTGAGGTCTAAATTATTACTACATGTCCAGTATTTGGCACACCACACATATGCTCTCAATAAATGCCAGCCACTGCTGCTACTGAGAAGATTACTATGAACATCATTGCCCTCCTGCTGTTCTATAATAAATGTATAAACAAAGGGGTGTGCGACATACCACTGTGGACAAAGCAAAGATGCCACCTCAGGATACTCTCTGGAGAATATCTGGAAGGACATTTCTTTCCCCTGCACCTTCTTTGGTCCCAACTTCAGCAGGAGAAAACAGGAGGGAGGTCCCTTCTCATCACAGATCAATGGAGCACTCTGACAAAACCACCTGAGGAGAAACTGCCACAGTCATAAGTCCATGTTTTGAAAGCTCTTTGATGCCTCAGGGCTTTCTTCCTTTTATTCTCTCCACCTTCCCTCACTCACTTGTGAAATGGCTGGCTTCTTTTCATCTTTCAACAGCCAGTAGAAGTGGCATGTTCTCAGAGTGCCCTTCCCCACCCCTTTCAAGTAATACCTCCCAACTGGCGCAAAGCCCTTGTCAAATATTCAAAATTACCCACAGATTCAAATGTGATTTCACTTAGAGATGGATGTTGTTTCTATTGTCTTGAAACCACTGTATTTTCAGTTCTCAAACACTACACCATGCTTAGGTAGTGCTCAACAATCATTTAATAAAAACAGAATCATGAAACACTTATTTGATTTTGTATGGTGAGTTTTTAGTGGTGCTAACTACTGCAATATCTTTGTCACTCATCATACAACTATTTAACTTGCAGGATGTTGTGCAGGTCATGATCTCTTCTGATGCTATCATCAGTATAAGGGCATGTCCAGCCTTAAAACTTTTGTCACTCAAGGGGCATATTCTGCTTCTTCCTTCCTCCCCTTCCCTCTCACCAGCACTTCTAATAAACCTCTCAAGGCCCAGCTAGGACATGTACTCTCCAGCCTTGTTATGGTTTGGGTCTAGATGTTGCAGTCATAGGTGGGTGAATCTAGAGTGTGTGATGCTAGGATTAAGGACGTGTGATTTACTAAACCACTACACAAAAGTGATTGGTTTGGCACCACCCTAATCCTGGTAATCTAAATAAAATAAAAGAAGCAGAAAGACACTGTTAAGGTCCCATGTTGCCTTTGCTACCTTGTGCATGGCATGTTGTTTCTCTTCTGTGATTCTTGTTTGTCAACCCTGCTTTGGAGCTAGCTGATTATGGACTGAAACCTGTACAAATTGTAAGCTAAATAAACCTTTCCCCTTTAATCTTGGGTGCTGGATGTTTTTGTCTCAGGAGTGAAAGAAAAGTAACTAAGACAGGCTCTAAACACCATTGCTATCCGGAGGGAGCCAGAAGCTCGGGGTATTCCCAACAAGACAACCTTCCCCCTACTCTTCTACCACTGGTAGGAGAGAAATAGGAGCCCCAGAGCCCTAGGCTTCCAATGATAAACCTTCACCACAATCAAAGCAACTGTCTCTACTTGACAACTCTCTTTGGGGCCTTCATCATTTAAAAAAAATAGATAACTTCATTCCTAATACTGCCATCCCATTTTCCCTATCTGCTGGGAGGCAATCTGTACCCTCTCTTAACAGTCCAATCCCCTTTCTTACTGTAATTTTCTGCATACCACCTGAGGAACTGCATATTTCTTCCATATACTTCTTATCTGTATTCCTTTCACTAGTATATCAGTCCCACAATGGAAAAACATTCTTGCTCTTATTTTCTCTTTTGTATTTTAATATCACCAATATCTTAAACCAATATTTGAAAAACTTTTTGTTACTAGCAAATAATAACTATTGTACATTTTATAGCTCATTATAATTTTTAATTCCTCTAGGGGGGGTGATTAAACCTGCACCTTTGCACCGAGTTACAACCCTAGCACATTGATTTATTTATTATTTAATTTTTTAAATGACATCTAAGTCACCAAGTTGTCCAGCCTGGGCTCCAACTTGAAGTTCCCTTGCCTCTGCCTCCCGGAAATATGGGATTACAGGAGTGTACCACCACACTCACCTCTCTGCCTGTTTATAGTTTCAAAAATATTAAAGTTATCCTTAGATCAGAGACTGAACCAAAATAAAAATGGACCATGCATGGATCATAGCTTGGCTGTCACAGACCTCTGTCTCAATGATACCTATAATGGTAAAAACAAAGGAGCATGTTGCTCCTAGCCTGTAAAAGTCACACTGTACCATTGTTACTAATCGATTTAAGCATTACTCTGATTTACTTTGTTCTTTCCTTAGCCCTCTTTGTCTTCCTTTTCTTGGTCTTTGATTTTTCCTTCCGCTTCTTTACAGTGATCATCTTTTATGTTTTTGCCTTCTAATTAACAGTGTATAGTATTACTTGTATTTGATCAACATTATCTTTTATTCTCTTTAGTTAACAAAAGTCCACATTTAGGTATAAATGAACTTATTATATATGATAAATTCTATATTATTTTTTAATTTTATTTTTTAAAGACAAGATCTTGCTATGTACCTTAGGCTGGCTTTGAACTCACTATGTAGCCTAGACTGGCCTCAAACTCGTGGTGATCTCCGTACAGGGACTACAGGCATGCACCACCACACCTGGCTCAGTTCTATATTCTTAACATCAGCTCATTGTTTTTTGCTATGTAAGTACAGTATATCAAAATACATATATTAAGGTGGCTTCTGCTTTTCAGCCAAAAGACAATAATATAGACGAGATTTATCATTGCCACTGAAAATATAAAACAAATATAAAATAATTGTTTTTGAGACATTGGCTATAAAGAAGCATAAAGCTGTGAACCCTGAGAGTAAGGAAACAAGGAAAGATGAGTCCTGAAATTTCTGCAGAGTCCTATCTGGGTGGAGTTTCCAGGCTGTGGCACAAGGTCAGGGAACTCTCTCAACTGAAGAAACATCTGAGACTTCAAGGAGAACAGGTAGACATTGTGTATAGGACAAAGACAGGGAAGTGAGAGTGCGAGGAATAGGGTGAGAGGCTTGAGATTAGCAGATAAACCCTGTAAAGACTGGAGAGAACATTGTTGGGGGTACTTAAGGAAACTGTAATCTAGAGAAGCACTCACCAGGAATAAAAGAAACATCTGATACTCACTGAGGGCCAACAGTACCTGCTTCCCCCAGTTACATGTTCCTGAGTACTGGATAGAGAAATAAAACAGGTTTTGCTGCAGCAGTGAGGAATAATTAACCTACCATGAGCACTACCTTGATCCTGCCTAACAAATATTCTAAGGAAGAGGTGAAGTGTTCAAATCATTACCAAGTAATGGTTCTAGGATAAAGCTCAAGAATATTTACAAGGATACAAATTTATGGATCCAAAAATGTAAAATATGTAATACAATAGCACATCAGTTCACGAACTTATTTCTTTCTAGGATTCTGGAAAACATGGCCATGTTCATGTTCATATGGGAAAGATGGCTGCAGTTGTGTTCGTCACCCAACACAGAATTCACAAACAAAAATAAAATTTTGCTAAATTTTTCTGTTTGTGAACCAAATTGTTTGCAAGCTAAAGCATTCATGAGCTGAAGTACCACTGCCTATCTGGCATCCCCCACAAGATCAGGAACAAGACAGGAATGTCCACCTATATGAAGTCCTTTCAACCTGTTATGGGAGGTTTTATTTAATAACATGATAAGGCAATGACTATAAATAAGAAGTATACACATCACAAGGAAATAAGACTTTATTCACAGTTCAACATGATTGTTTATGTAGAAATAGGATGCAGTCGA